AACCATTTAGTACACCCCAAGCCGTTGCTCAAGCTGCTCGCGTGGCAACTGGACGTGAGCTTCCTCGTGGGTTGCTCCATATGTTACGATTCGATAAAAAGAGCGGATTATGAGTAGCTAGGTAAATGAACCAACTCCGTTCCCATTATGATGTGGGCCTGGTAAAGTCAGCCAAAGATAAGGAGGAGAGCTCGGCGTCAGCCGGGCGCTCCGACTGGTATGTACATAATTTGGGAAGCCTATTGGTCGTGTATTTGTCCGGTAATCCGGTTTCTCCTGGGAAGATAATTGAAAAGCCTGGGTCTATCCAACAGTCTAGCTTGGGGCTTCTCCATTTGCGACCAGGTTGATATAGCTGTAGTCCTCTTGAAGCAAAATGATAAACATTGTTCGTCACAGGTGTTGCTGAAGAAATATTGTGTGTGCATCCCTCTGTTGCATTTCATGTATTACAAGGATGCACACACGACGCTTGGTCGACTCTGCTTCACAAACCGCTTACTAGACGCTGGTTAGCGTTGACAAAGTGAACTAAAAAGTGGTTGTTGTTAGTGAAGACACATCACAGCGAGATGTTAGTTACGACACAACTGTGCTGCTGTCTTAGCTACAATTTCACTAAAGAAGAAATTAAAGAGCACGAGGAAAAGTGCCCTGTGAAGTACGTAGTACCTCTTAGCATTCATTGCAGTAAATTACTGAATATGTGATACTTGGACTTTCACCTTCACCAAAGAGGGTAGTACATTTCGTTCTCACGAATAGTTGGATCAAGTCGATCGAAACTGTCGTGAGTTGGCGTAATCTCACCGGAGTAGCTGCTCTTTCTTTTCGACGGTACGCTTCAGATCTCGTAGCTGCTTCGCGTACGCACTGACCGAGGAAGCAGCTTCTTCATCTAGCACTTTCATGACCCGCACCTCCCTCAATCTGAGTTCACAGGTAGCCCAAACCTCGCTTCGTCATCAAAACTGTAGGCTCCCGCTTTGAAGCATTAGCGTCGTGGAAGGTTGTCCGATAATTGATGGCGCCGTCCTCATTCAGCTCCATCATTCTTTCTGGTATCTACAGCTATCATGCTGGCGTCAGGGTGGTGAGGAAGCGCTTGGAGGGGACGTTGCCGATGGTAAAGTCTTTGTCTGTATCACAGAAGAAGAAGAAGCAGGAGTCAAGCGAGTGGCACTAAAAGAAAGATCACTCCTTAATGTATACTAACTTTACTTTGATACTTTGATGGTCCTTCAACTGGCTTGATCTTCAGCGGGGACCACAGCTCTTCCATAACGCACGATTTCTGGCGACTTGCATCCAATGTGGCGGACCGCGTTCTCTGAAATATTTCAAAAACGAGTCGGACCAACGGGGTCCCAGAGGCCGTTTTGCGTTCCTTGGGAGCCATTCTGTGATGCGGAGACTCCATCTGTCATCATTGCGGCGGAGCAAGTGACCAGCCCAGCGGTGTTTGCACTGGGCCATATACTGCAGCGGATCTTTCAATCTCGACCGCTCCCTTAGGTCTGTACTTCGTAGGCCTTGTTGCCATTGCAGGCGGCGGCCGACCTTCAAAAGACATCTCTCCAGTGCACGATGCGTAGTTTGCATTGCCTTAGCGATTGTCCTGTATTCAGGCCAGGTTTCGGTCGCGTAACACATCACTGGTAGCACCGTGGCGTCGAATATCGAGGCTCTTAGGTTAGAGTCCTTAATTTGCTCCGTTACTTCACGAATCGTTCCAAAAGCTGCCCGTGTTGCACGCCTCCTGCGGCTTATTTCAGAAGAGATGTTGTTCAGCATGTTTGGCTCTCTTTCCAGATACACGTAGGAATCCACTCTTTCGAGAGCAACTCCTGCCAATTTCACGGTTCCCGCATCACACCAGTGGTTCACCATCATCTTCGTTTTGGACATATTCATTTCCAAGACAATTTTCTGACCAATCATGTCGAGCTCGTTTACTATCTCTTCCATTTCGACTGTGTTATCGGATATCAGAACGATATCATCAGCAAAACGGAGGTTGCTTATCCTTTTCCCGTCAATCAAGTATCCTTTGTCATCCCAGTTGAGGTTTGACATCGCATACTGTAGTGCTGCCGTGAATAGCTTCGGGGATATCGTGTCCCCCTGCCGTACCCCTTTCTCAATGGGTACTTTTACCTTGCGCTCGAACAGTTGCAGGGTTGTTGATGTGTTCGATACTCTGTTCGAGCAGGCGAATGTAGGCAGAGGGTTCTCCGGCTCGCCACCAAGGCGTTGAGAACAGCATTAACCTCCACTGGGTCGAAGGCCTTTTGTAGTCCACAAATACGAGGACAAGTGGAAGATTATACTCGCGCTCCTCTCTATGAGCGTGTGTTACTGCCTGTATGTTGTCCATACACGGAAAATTCTTGCGGAAGCCGGCCTGCTCTGGTGGTTGATAGTCGTCTAAGATGCGTTCCATACGGTTGAGCAGTATTTTCGTGAACGACTTATATATCGTCGAGAGCAGACTGATAGGTCGGTGGTTGGCAATCTCCTCTCTCTGGCCTTTTTTTGAACAGATGAACTGTTCTGGATTCTCTCCACTGTTCATCATTTCTAATTGCAGGTAATGACTGAAGTGCTCTGCGAGGAGTGTGTGAAGGGACTTTCCTCCTGCACGAAGAAAATCGGCAGATATGCCATCGGGCCAGGAGCAGTTCCTTTCTTCACGCTTTTTGATCGCATTTGCAACTTCCGCTTCCAGAATAGGAGGGGGATCTTCAGCAGGCGGTACAGAGCATCTAGGGACGTTTGTGGAAGAGCGGAAGAGATTCGTATAGAAATCACTAACGATTTCCTCGGTAGATCTCCTAGATGTTTGTATTCTTCCATCCTTGTCCATAAGAGCTGAAATGACATTTCTTTGATCGTTCAGATCTCGTTTGCAGCGTTTGATGCTCGATCTTGTTTCTGCCGCCTTCAGCAGTCTAGTTCTTCTGTAAGCTCGGAGTGATCCTCTGACGGCAAACCGGCATGCTTTGTTGATGGTGACTTTTTCCAAGTGCGTGGCATTAGGGTCCATTTTCATTGCCCTCCTTTTTACAACAAAGTGGTTGCGACATCATTGAGCCTTGGGCTGGAATCTGATCGTGCGAGTCGTGAAAGCTCTGCGCACTTGGACAGACCTTCGACCAGATGTTTGTAATCTTCTGATGGGTCCTCCAGCAAATGCCAGCTATGAGCTTCAATGCAAGCTCCCAATTGCGTTTGTGTTGTGTTGTAGGAGGGATTCCTCGAAGGTAAGGGCCCATGCCTGTCGCGCTTGAATAATTTCTTCTTGAGACATACTTTGGCACGTATCAAAGGGTGGTCTGAGCCAGTATCGAATGACGGCAGCACTGATACGTCGAATAGGCTCCAGCGTCGATTCGCTAGGATGTGATCGATTTCCTTGCGCGTTTCTCCATTTGGACTTTCCCAGGTCCATCGCCGTCCAGCCGGCTTCTCGAACATAGAGTTTCCGTGATAAAGGCGACATGCAGACAGCAAGTCAAGCAGCCTTTCTCCGTTCTCGTTTCGACTATTCGTTCCATGGGACCCGAGTCGCCAATCGCCGTTGTGGTTCGTGCCTATAAGGGCATTGAAGTCACCAGCCACATACTTGTAGTGAGTTCTCTCATTCTGAATCGTATCTTCCAGAAGCTTGTAAAATTCTTCGCGTTCTTCGTCAGTGGCGGTGGAGGTGGGTGCATATCCATTGATAATGGATATGGCTCCTTGATCTTTGGTGAGCAAGCGTAGAACAGCGATGCGTGGACTGATGATTTTGTGAGAGTCTACTAGATGGACCACTGCCTGGAAATCCAACTCCGCCGACATTCTTGCCATCCACCTTGGCTCCAACAATAAGCAGCTCGTTGTGGTCGGTTTTCCTAATGGTTTCCGTTCTGCCCTTCGTTTCTTGTATAGCGATAACATCGTACTTGATCTGACGACTCCTCAGCAGAAGTGTTCGGAGATCAGCATCCGATGCAATAGTCCGACAATTATACGAGCAGACGAAGAGGCAGAACGGAAACCATTAGGAAAACCGATCACAACGAGCTGCTTATTGTTGGAGCCAAGGTGGATGGCAAGAATGTCGGCGGAATTGGATTTCTCGTAAACCAGGCAGTGGTCCATCTAAAGAAAGCAGTCCTATGTGTCGTTTTGGGTGGGGGAGTTTCCGGGCTTCTTCGAATCTAACAGCCTGGCTTAGGTTACTCCCCTTGTTCCTTGCTAGGGATACAAGAAAGCCGCCCATACACACAATACTGTGCGCACTGCGTAGCCGTTTGTACCGTTGGCCACCATTAGTGGTGTACACCCTATCACCGCTACGACTCTTCAGGTGATGGCCATGTATTCTGAGTTCAAAAAAGTGTGACAGAACTTTCCCGCCAACCTAATACAACATAAAATCAATAACATGATGGAAGGAAATTAGTAAATCAATAAATAAGCAACAAATAAAAATCACTTATGCGGACTGCGCACATCTAGAATCAGGGAGAAGAAGGTACAGTAAGTAGACAAAAGAGTAGACAAAAAGTCGAAATACGTTCTAGATTATAATAAATTACATGAAAATAGGCAGAAAAAATAAAAATAGGCAGGCGAGTGACCATTGATTGATGGAGGCAAGAACTGCACGCCAAGATTCTCTTATGACGACGCACCAGGCAACACTCAGAGGCAGCGAGAAGTTTTGAATTTCACGGCGGGAATTCGAACGGAGAACATGAAATTTGGTTTACGGAATTTTCTGTGCAACTGACCAGTTCTTTTTGTTTTTTCTGCTATGCTCGTGTAGAGCAGAGCCCAATGAACTGATTTTCGATGATGAGGGAACCATCTCGAAATAGCTGCGGAAAGATCCGACACTTTTGAAAAAAGGTTACGAACTTTTGAGGCACTCTATATGTTGGAAATTCCTTAGAGCGAAATGCCAGCTGGACATTTGACTATGGCGGACATAGTGTTGGTGTTTGCATAGTATGAAGACCCCTAGTAGCGAGGGAAAACAGATTTCGGACGCTGTAAGACAGGCTTCGGCGAGAAGGTGAGGTTTATGGAACTGAGGCCTTGCCTCACAACAGCAACACTCTGTGCAAGGAGTGTGGACGTTTTCATCTACGCTCGATTCGATCGAGCTCAGAAGATGAAAGTTGTAACGGCGTGGACCTAGAATCTCTCCACCCACTTTGGAGCGACAACCAAAGTATTGGGTTAGCTTACAAATGTTTAGGCAGCATAAAGATCTAGCATCAGAAGTACTCCAGGGATCGCGTAGCATTGACAAGGCAGCCTAAGCGAGATGCAGCAAGTGCTACCCGGATAGGTGTCTCACTGATGTAGGTTCAAATAACTAATGGATAGATATGTAGCAGTTTTACTGACTGCTCGAAGCTCACCCTCATGAAATGTGTATAAAATCTGTCCCCGTATGCCTCAATAAAACGGAAATGTTGTCAGCATGCTGTAGGGTTGAATAGCGTCAACATTTTGAGTATCCTATTTCGGACATTAGAAAGTGGGACAGTACAGTAGCTGAATAACCTCCGTACGACTAGCTTCAAGATGAATGTTTTCATGTGCTGGCCGCACTTCAGAAAATCGCGGGAATGTTGCTGGAGGTTGTAACGTCTTATACCTGCGCTGGCCGGTCAATAGCCGACGAGCTGGCCATAGCATAGACACGCCACACAGCCGGACAAACGTATGACCGCAGCCACACGCGCTTACGCGTACACCCTATCACGGGGCGCTAATTGAAGACAGCTCCCGCGATGAAAGTATCAAAGATAATTGCTGATCAATCATGAAACAGTAGCTGATATGTAATTCCTCAATGATGGAAAAAAGCAACAAGAACCCTCAAGAACACCACAAACAAAATTGCTCAATTACAGTTACACCGCCCGGCGGTCCGTAGACAATCCCTGGCTCATAAGTCGCTTTATCGCATTTCCCACTAGTGGACAATTCAAAGAAAAGAATACGAAAAACAACAAAGACACGCACGAAAAACACAAAAAAAAGAAAAATTCAAAAACTTGGCGTCCGAAATTGGGGTTACGTGCAGTGTGCAGCTTTTAGTGCATGTCGAGCTTTTGCACCACAAAAACTGCACCATTCGTGATTTTTACGCGTTTTACCTTGTGAGATGGGTTGCAGTTGAGTGTGCTCCAGTTAATAAAATGTAATAAACGAGAGCAGAATTTGAGCACGAGCGCGGTCAGCAAAGAATACATGCAGTTCCGATTAATACCCGTCGTCCCAACAAAGAACAAGTGAGCGGCTCTCCGAGGAGCGAGCTACAACCGCTCAAAGTTCTGGTTCTAACGCCCGCTTAATTGGACCGCCCCACTTGCTAGCCGCCCTCTGACGAAGAGCCGTTCAGTTGTTCTTTGTTGGGACGGCGGGCATTAATCGGGACTGCATGTACTTTTTGCTGACTGCGCTTGTGCCCATGAATAATTTAGCTCTACTTCATCATATTTTATTCATTGGGAGCACATACAGTCAACTGCAACCCGTCTCGTAGGTGAAACGAGTAAAAATAACGAATGATGCAATTTTCGTGGTGCGAAAGCTCGACATGCACTAAAAGCCGCACACCGCACGTAAACCCAAATTCGCACGCCAGGTTTTTGAATTTTTCCTTTTTTCAAGTGTTTTTCGTTTGTGTCTTTGTTGTTTTTCATATTGTTTTCTTTGAAATGGATGTTGTCTGGGAAATGCATAAAGCGATTTGTGAGCCAGGGGTTGCCCACGAACTGTTCTTGAGGGCTTTTGTTGCTTTTTTTCCCCTTCTCTGAGGAATTACTTGTCAGCTACTGTTTCATAATTGATCAGCAATTATCCTTGACACTTTTATCGCGGAGCTATCTTTAACTACAGCTTGACTTGACGTCTTAACACGTTGCTCGACCAGATGCCCCCGCCTCACTGACAATTATTTCAGAAGTTCACCAGGAGAGGGTCAAAAGAGGTATCCTACAGCAACTCATCTCGAGAAAAAGCGAATACAAGAGAGTCCAGTAAGGAAAAAGTATCCAAGAAAGTGAGTAGATCAGCACTTGCGTAGCTCACATGAATTTCTTCAGAATGTTATCAGTTCAATTGAAAGTCTTTATCGCTGTAGCATCGCTTCAGAGGGAGGCCTGTGGACATGCCTAATACACTGCACTAAATTGTCGCTTTATGCTTAACCAATTTATTTCATAGTTTGCACTGGTACAATATATGTATCAGAGGTTGTGAAAGTAGAGATGGATGTCACGCTCAAAAAAGTTGTGGCAGCGAGGATGCTACTCGAAAAACATGAGATGGTATCGAATCGGATACTTGAATTTTGTACGGTCGCGCGCATTCAGCATCTGCACTGGAACGAGCCGTTTCGCGGTATCTGCTTAATAATACGCAACAAAAAAACGATGTCTTCTGGAAAGGCGCAGAACGGTTCAGACGATTCAAAAATTCAATCCCATCATCACACCAAATGTAAGCGGATGCCTTATAGAGATCTTCGATCGGGAGTTTAATGAGTAAGGTTTTTGACAGAAGTCCATAGCAAAGATTGGAGAATTGATAGATGTCATGAAATGCTCCCGCACCTTATTTATTTCACTTGATGGGAAGGCGTTCCATGCGGTGCACATTTACAAGATCCAAATTCTTATCTCCCGAATGGATCAATTTCAACCGTTCCTGAGAGGCATCGTTCTTCGGTGATACACATCACACTTTTAGTTACTTCTGGAAATCGAGAGCCCGTAGCAATCCCGTAACCGTGGTGTCAAGGAGTCTCATTTGTGTCGACCCCTCTCTAAATTTCAATAATAAAAATTGACAAAATCAGGGAAGAACGGATAACAGAGCACAACTGCTTGCAAAGCAGAAAGTTGTCTATCAGATAGCATAGAATACAAAATTGGAAAAAACGCTATAACTTGTCGAACAACCCAATATTTGAGTGGAAAACTTCACTGGATGCCACGCATTCTCCGCTGCGAAAGCATTTGAGGGGTGACGCTGATTTCTGCGAGAACATGCATTGCTCATTCGTCTTGTGTGCTTCTTAGTATGTTCCTCTCGAAGCGACATCGACGCGGCGCTGTGTAGCATCCTTCTACGACATTTTCCACATACGCTCCTTGACAATAAGCGGTACGAATTCTTGTCAGAGAAGAGGCTCAAAAATATCGGAAACCTAAATGTTGTCTCCTCACTATGCCTCGGCGGCAGCTTGGGTTTTCAGGTTGGATCCTCCTACTGTAAAACGATAAAAGTATGAATGTGCTTAGAAATGAACCAACAGACATCCATCCGCTTACTGCTTTACAATATTAATGACTTTGAGAGAATTGCGCAGCCATTTTATGATTTGTAAATGGTATTACAGACAAACTCCGTAGAACTGGAACAGCAGAATCTACAGAATGCGAAGGTATGTGATCATTCAAATTTCGTACGCATTTTTGGAGCTCTTGCATATTCACTTAACTGTTCCTGTTTTCAAAGACTGTTCTCGCGATAAAGTGCCATGGATATTCGCTGTTCAATTATGAAACAGTAGCGCTGATAAGCAGCTCCCTAAAGTGGGGAAAAAGCAACAAGAGTCCTCAAGAACACCACAAAATTGACACGTGACAGTCACACCACCCCGCAGGCGGCCTCTTTGCAACCCCTGGCTCAGAAATCGCTTTCTCGCATCCCTAACTAGTAGATCAAATGCAAAGAGAAGAATGCAAAAAAAAACGAAGACATCGACGGAAAACTCCTAACAGAAAGAAACCTTCGAAAGCTTGATGTGCAAATTTATGGTTACGGTAGCGTGCATCTTTCTATGCACCCCGAGCTCTTGCACCATGAAAATTGCATCACTTGTGATTTTTACGCGTTTTACCTCGCGAGATGGGTTGCAGTTGACTGTCACCTATATCACCTGTATCCGACTTGTCTTCATGTGTTCCGCCATTCACGCAAGTCGAATCTGAGCTATCGCAAGTCTTCTCCACTTTTGGCCGAATATTTTCACAATCGGATCTGCCCATTTCATTTTAGGTCTTCTCAACGGTCGTTTGTGATCCAGAGGGATTTAGCTAGGGAAGTCTATCTGTTATCTCTTAAGCGCGCCACATGACCGGCCCATTCTCGTTTACGTTTATACATTTTCTGGACAACACCAATAAAGCCACTTTGCCTTCGAAGTTCAGCATTCGAGATATGGTCGCGCAGTGTATCTTACGAATTCTGTGCTCCATTTACCTCTGCGCTACAGCAAATTTCTCCTCGTCTGTGTTAGTGGTCGACCAGCACCCTGCGCCGTACAGCAGCCGGGTAAAACGGTAAAGTGAAACAGAGACGCTGTTGACTGTAGGTGTTCCTAATCTATGAATTGTAATAAAGGAGAGGAGAATCACTTGGGCACGAGCGCTGTCACCAAAAAGGAAATACTATTCCGATCAATGACCGCTGCCCCCACAAAGAACAACTGAGCGGCCCTACATTAGAGGGCATCCAGGAAGTGGGCGGTCCAAATGAGCGGGCGTTAGATATAGAACTTTCAGCGACTGTACCACGCTCCTCGCTCGTTGTGGTCCGCGAAAGTGAAACAGTCTCTTAGCTTGCTGGTTGTATTACTTGTACAACGAAGGACGATCATGAAACTTCAGCGCGGGGGCTGTCTTTAAAAACACGATGATAAAAGAATGGAAAATAAGACAGGAAGCCACAATTATAGTATTAGTCCAGTTTCAATGACTGTGAAATATGTACAACTGTCAAATAAAAGAACCTTTAAGTATGCATGTCAGGTCGTCTGAAGAGCTTCCTTTTTTTTGAACCATTTATGGTTGAGAGTGAAACGGATGAGGTGGCAGACCATAGCGGTTTGCATGAGGCGTTAAAGTATGAAGGATAAATTCTTGACCGTTGATCAATCTTTTGTAGGATGCGGTACGCATTCTACTTCCATTCAGAATCGTAGTGGCTTATTGGATGCGGTGTAGCATATACAATGGCTTGCGGTGATGACCAGCCAATGTACAAGTCAGTGTCTCATCCTCCCGGACGAATCTGGTTCCAATTTACCGTTCCCGGAGGATAGAAGGCTTGGTTGGCTTGGGTGGGAGTCGACCCGAGACTTAAACCCGGGTCCGCGCCAGCGGTAAGCGCGCCACTAGTCACTATACCACTGTCTTGCATGAGGCGTTACGTGTCAACAAAGTTCTTCCAAGGCAGTGAGAGATAGCTCGCACCCGAATTACAATGTCTGCTTCTGGCCCTGGCTAGTCACAAGGAGTCGCTGGTCCCGCTGTTTTTTTTGGGCTTCGCCACTTATTTCGACCCTGTGCATCTCTGCCGCGGCATTCACTTCACTGAGGTCCTTCTTGAAGACGTAGATCCATTTTTCTTCCAGGCTCCTCGTGGTCGCTTGCCGCTTGAATTCGAAATCCAGCTCTTTCCTCATCTGTTGGTCTTCAGGACTTTTCAGTGCGTTCCCATACCATCGCAGTTGCTGCTCTCGTGCCTTCGGCTGGATCGGAATCCTTATTGTTTCTGCCTCTACCTAGTCATGTTCAGCCAAAGGCCACCCAAGCATACGCATCTCAGCTGAGGGGAACTGCTTCTCATGGTAGTTACTATGGGTGCACTCGCTGCCATACAGGATCGCAGGCCTTGCCACTGCCACGCCCAGTACATCTTACCCTTGAGCGTTCTCGACACCGCCATTGTTGTCTGCTTCCTCCATTTCATCCCGGCTCTATTTATTCATGCTTTACCTGCCTGTCCATGCTACCATCAGCTCCTAGATCGCCTCTCAAGTACTGGGAATCCTCGAGCCTTTCGACGCCTTCGCTCGTGGCGGCCTACCGTTGGTTTAATGCACTCAACTCATTGTCAGCCGTTTCTCAGCTAGCATATAATGCCACTTTTGCGTCTGGAGTTCTTCCTTAGTATCCGCTGTCAGAGCAATGCTGTCAACGGAGAGAATGGTTTTCAGCGGCTCCTTCATGAGTTCCTTTGCCATCTAGAATCAGGAAGAAGAAAAACGAGTTCAAGCCAGATGAAAAACTAGTTCAAGCCAGATCTTTGGGATACCCCAACCGTAGTGTCTACTAGCTTGGCTTTATATGTGGAGCGCGAACATCAACCTCAGTCCACTCGTACATGTCCTTTCACAATGGAGAACAGGTTATTCGGAACCGTTCGTTCTCTGAGCGTTCTCCAGAGCACAGACCGAGTGGGCGGTCAAATGCCTTCTCGAGGTCCAGAAAGGGAGTAGCAGGCTCGCCGCTTCCCTCGATGACCCTTTATCACCTGCTCGGCGATGAAGATACCATCAGTGGTGAACCTTTCGGGCATGGGATCAAACTGCTTCTGAAAGATAGGGACAAGTCCTCTTAGCTTTCTACTGATTAACCGCTCATCACCTTCATGGTATGAGAAGCCATTCCAATACCGCGATAATGAGAGCGCTCCATCGCGTCTCCTTGCTGCTTGAATATGAGGACGATTACACGGCTTCTCCTCGCATTTGGCATCCTTCGGCTGTTGCATTGTGTGAAAAGTGGGTGATCCACTTTAGCCCAAGCTCTGCAAGGGCTTTCTTTTCCTTGCCTCTATCGATACCCCAAGTGGACCCACTGATTTCCCGTTTCACCTTATCTAACTCTCCGCATCTAATCTTCTGTGCAGAGGATAAGGACCTGCCGTCGCCTCTAGCTCTGGGTTGTCATCGAGGGGAATTCTTCGGAGGCCATTGAACCACCGCCGCAGTTCTGTAGTTCTTCACAGTTTTTACTACCTGATGCCTTGGATAGTTCGACACCGAGCCTCGAACTCGCAGAAGATCGAATCTCCTCTCACGGCCCTCCAACTCCTCGTACAGGGCTCCAGTTTAGTTGCTCATAACCTTTGCATTGGATACGTTAGTGAGTCGCAGTATGCAGCGATGTCTCCTTGATTTCTTGTCTTTTGCCAACGATTGTAGGCTTTTTCCTTTGCCTAACAATCCGCAACAGTTCCTCGCTCTGGAACCACGCTGCCCTAGTTTCTCGCGTCTTTGAGGGCGCTCATTTGCGCTATTCCAACCCTCAGAGCCAATCAGCATGAAACTTCTTGCCAAACAGTGTGGAACATGCTAATTAATCACTTCATCTTCTGATTCGATGTAAGTACAAAAAAATGCCTCACCCATGGGTCAACCCGTATTCAAACGTCCCTTGAATACATGCTTCTTCAACGTCTGATTGAGATACAATTCAGGAGCAAGTATGCAACATCATTAAAGGAAAGGATTATGAGTCAAGCGGAGAGAAAGTTAATGCACTTGACAAGAAGGAGGTACAGTTATGTAGTTTACATTTTGTAACATCACAATCAGCTGGGGCAGTGTGAACAGATGTGCCCGTCTCCGGCTGCCTTGCTCTACCAATGGTCATCGGTACTGATCGACTTAGAAGGAGAGCATCCAACGGTGGAGAAGCCGCAGGCTTGGCCATTCCTTCCCTCTTCAGTCCGAGTTTGGCGCAGATCAGCGGGCCGCAACTCTCTCATACGGCACTACCTTAGCGTCTGTAGAAATTGATCGCCATGCCTAATGAGTACAGACCTTTCGTGTTGTACTGGTACTATCGCTGTAGAAGGTGATGAGGTGGGAGTCACGTGCACAAAATTTTCTGTTTGGAATGACGAGATTGTTCGTGTCTGTAATCCAACAGGCTTATCGTCGTTCTATGATCCATCACGACAAGCGTACTAATCTTTTGCCAAGCCAACGTGTCCATTAGTCGCGGGCGACAATCGTAATGTCTTCTGGTGATACTACAACCGTCCTCTTATTTAACAGAGCCTAGAAATGGACCTTAGATTGCTCGGAATATCCAGTTTGCATGCAGTATGCAGAAAGGATGTGGTATAGTTGCTGTGCTACAGCTACATCTATCTTCATCGATCGGTTAGCAATACGAACTACACTAGTAATTCGGTCACAGAACTGAGACAACTGAGACACGATTGGCCACACCACTTGCAGTTTTCGATTCACCACAAAGCCGCGGCTAATTTCTCTCAACTGAGAAACCAGACATTCCCTCATTCTGCACTGCACAGAGAAGGATGCTTCTGCGCTAGTGCTTGTGCCAGCTCGTATGAGCGTCCCGTCAACGATACAACATTCAGCGTTGCAACGCGAGCCTTTCAAACGTTGCCAAACTTTCCGACTTGCCTGATTACCATCCAATACCATCCGTGCAGCGGAGATCCTCACGCAATTTTCACAATCGCGGTGTCTTGCGAGTACTCGTCGGCTTTTGTGGACAGTATTTAGGAATTTGGCACTGTTTTGTTATGGCACTATTTCGGAATTCATTTGTCATCTCTGAACATTGAAATGTGACATGGGGTATTTGTAGCTCGGCATATCACGAAGAATTGTCACCTACATTTAGACGTGCGCGTCTAGCTCGGCTCGCAAGATACGAGCAGTTCTAGTGGCACCATGTGAAGGACGGGAAACACCACCGACCCGACACTCCATTTTAATGAATAGAAAGTTGTCAAAAAATAAAAAAAGACCAGAGAGCTGAGCACAGTGCCCTACAGATCAGGAGATTAGCTATCAGTCCGAATGTTCCCGGGAACTTCTTGCTTTTAACTAAGAGTTTCTGTAAAAGAAACGCCATTACATGTAGAGCAACTTCATAGAAGTTCCTGAAATTAGTTCCTAATATGAACTGGGCATTACATTAAGAGGTGAATAACTTCTTAGCTAGCAGTATAAGACGCAGTGGCTAGGCGTTGATCTCTTTTTAGCACATTTTCAATCTATGAAAGGGAGCCGTTGTTTATGGACCAGCCCGATGTGTACAAGGCTGCGCTCATACTTTGCGGCAGCAGCGTCCACCAGCGACCAACAGCGTCTAGAGGGCTGGGGAATTATAGGTATAGATCCAGCGTTTGCCAGCGTCTACCAGCAATCAGCAGCGTCTAAGAGTGGAGAGTATAGGGAGATAGAAGGATAGCAGACCGCTGGTTACTGGCGGACACTAGAAGACGCTGGCAGACGCTGGATCGATAACTCTACTTCACTCGCCTTCGAGACGCTGCTATTAGCTGGTAGACGCTGGCAGACGCTAGACCGACACCTATGCTTTCCTAGACGCTGACGCTACCGGACGCTGAGAATGCTAGTGGACGCTATTGGTCGCTGGTGGGCGCTGCCGCAAATTATGAACGCAGCGAGCAGGCGCGATCGTAGCTATGTAAAGTACCTAGAGAGGCCTTCTTTTCATTCACTTCGGGCCGTGCACGGTTAAACATTTCACAGAGACTGTCAAATGAACGTATCATGAAAACGACTCCGGTTAGAAGCAATGAAGACAAACAAAAAATTCTTCTACGACGACGAGCTGGAAACGATGACGAAAGACTAAAGTCACTGGAGGTAAGCGCCTAACAACTTGTCTATCAAATTAAATGCATGAATTCCTGAGAATCATGCTAGGAATGTACTGGTTATTGGATACGGCTAAACCCTGCGACAATATTCCTTGCTCTCTTCAATATTTGCATACTACGGAAGAGAACAGAACTTTAAACCTGATTGTGAGATTAATATCAAATGTCACATCAATCAAAGGCAAAGGGAAGGTAGGGTTGCAAGCGATCGGCTTTGGATCGTTAACAGGAAAAATTCTCCCGAGAGCATCACCGTGATTATTCCCTCGAGGTTATGTGTTTTTCATCGTGGGAAGGGGCAGGGTTACCTCTTATCCCGAAAATGGGGAAGGCGTATCTCTGTACTTACTTTTCCGTGCATGGGTTACAGTTAAGAAGTTTTTCGTAGAATAGTTTCTTTGAGACAACTGTAACGCTGTCTTGTGCGTGACGGAAGCATAATTACAATTGTCCCAATATGAAACAATTTCACCAGAAGCGCAGCTGCAGTAAGACAAACTGTACGCTCACCTCCGATGACGATTTCTGCCGAGGCGAAAAGGTGCACAGTTGCGCTACGTGCGACTTTTCTGCTGAGCAATGTACGGGAACGAGAAAGTAGGGGTAGTATTAGGTTGTCCGGAAAGTTCTCAGCGTTTTGTGCACCTATTTTTTGTACATTCACTGCTGATTAAAAACTCAATCTGCCTTGCTTCTCAGTAGCACATCCGGTAGAGAATTTCTTGCCCTATCTGAAGGTATTAATTGTCGTTTCAGCATCGCTTGATAAACCATTTTTTTCAAGATTTTTCAGCATGTGAAAAGAGCACTTCGGACGATTTTTTTCTTCGACTATAAATTGTGGCAATCCGCAATCGAAACAGCTCAAAAATTAAACAAGGTGTGGGGGCCCAATAGTAGATAGAGAAAGCACTGTGCGCGGCAATGGCTCAACAAATTTCGTTCTGGAGATTTCAGCCTTGAAGATGAACCTCATAGGGGTCGACCTAAAGCCATACTGACCCGGGATTTGAAGGCGTTTGTGGTGGCTGACCCATCCCAAACAGTTCGGAGAGATTGCAGAAAAGTAACGGCGTTGGCAAATTCCATGTTGCGGATGGCATGAAACGCATTGGAAGGTAAAAAACTCGACAAATTGGGTGCCCCACAATGCGAGTGACCTGCAGGAATCGGCACGTCTCGAACGTTCCTTCTGCATTGCTTTTGCGCAATAGAAACGACTTGTTTTTGAGCTGAATTTTCATCTGTGGTGAAAAATGGTCATGTATGATAACAGGAGACGTTCCGGACAGTGGTTGGATTCCGACCAAACCACCGAGGTAATTTTCAAAGCCGAACCCTCACGAAAAAAGATTCTGTCACCGGCTTGGTGGTCATCGGCTGGTGTGATCCACCTTTATTAACTTCTTATCCAGGCCCAAACCATCACAGCAGAACCCTACTGTGAAGAAATCGACGAATTGTACCGAAAATTTTGTCAGATGCAGCCAACACTTATCAAAAGAAAGGGTCCGATTCCTTTGCATGACAACGCCCGCCCACATGTTTCACAAATCACTATCCATAAATTGAACGAATTGAGGGTTGAAGTTCTACCTCAACCGCCATATTCTTCAGACCTCTCGCCAACCGACTATCACCTTTTCTAACATTTTCAGAACTCCCTTGCTGGAAAATACTTCATCAATCAGGACCAGGCAAAAAAGCCTTAGTGGATTTCGTGAATTTTCGACCACCCAGTTTTTTACTTTGATGGGATTCCTCGACTGCTGTCACATTGGCAAAAGTGTGCTGATTCGAATGGTGCCTATTTCGATTAAATCCGATGAGTATTAAAAAGTTACGATCGTTCATAGTAAAACACCCAAAACGCTGAGAACTTTCCGGACAACCTAATAGTACCCGAATGTCGCCTGCACACTCTACCTGCTCTATTCTCAAGGGGGCAGCGCTTCCGCCGATTTCATGGTCTTGGAGCCGAACATATACTCAACGGTAGAGAGCGAAGGGAGAGGGCGCAGACAAGTAGTGCATTAGGCTATGGCTAAGGTAAGCAGCTGGCTGGTCGTGCAGCATCCAGGCATCATTACCCTTCAGCACCGTTCTAGTGCAAATTCGATTGGAGGCATCTGCGCGTACCCATAGGGTCCATAAAATACGGAATATGGTGCACTCTCGTATAAATACATCTTCTGCTGTAAAAATTAAAGTTAAGCGTGTGGAACAAAATCAAAGAGAATCCAAGACTTCAAATCAACCAACAGGCAAGTCCTGCAGTTTTCAAAATGAAAGAACGTCTGTAGCCTCTCAGGACACGAAATCAGGCACGGTCAAGCCTTAAACTCATAAGGTGAGACAATGGTCGATTGCCCCTTCATAACATTTTACTTCTATAAATTACTCCTTTCAGACATCGCTTAAACCACCTGCAACTTCAGTTCTGGATATTCACTTTCAAAAAATACTTTTCACATCACTTCTACACCTATATTAATCAATACGTCGCTCAAACTGTTAGTTACAAAGCCATGACCACGCACCAAATAAATGAAGATGGACAGAAACCTTTTCCGGAGCTCTTTGAGCGATTACACCCGTCAAAAATAACGTACTGCACCAAACAATCTGAATGAAAATTTCTAGCTACTCTGACATCCTGGTTTTCAGCAGGTTTGCTTTGAGCACTGAATGCATATGGCACGATAATTTGGTATCGGTCCAAAATAGTAGCAGCGTGCAATATAATGGAAATAACGAGAAAACGGAGTGAAACGGCCAAAAACCTGCGAATAAAAAACTTCGTTATGGTGACTCAAAAGGCAGCCTCGGACGAGTTTGCCGGAGGCGCTGCTCACAGTAAGCTCGAGAAGCGCTACGGTAGGTATGGATGCATGCAGGTCTCATATATCCATGCATATCGTATTCGCTTCATATCACTCTCCACGCTTCATATTTTACTTCGCAAATGAAGCAATACGAGCATCATACGGTCGTCCATTTGTAAGCGGGCGGACGCGGGGCGCTTTCTGCTTTGATTTTTTCATGTCGTGGAAGCCAACAATGGGCACACAGTTAGCATACCAGACATAGAAACTGTGCTCCTGAAAATGCTGAAATGCTGACAACATGGCACACAATATCGGACGTGGTAGTGCAGCTGCTATGGCTGTATGCCAAGGCTTTTCATTGCCCCCCCCCCTCCCCCTTGAGGAACACCGAATTTTGAGGTTGTGGTACTGATCAAATGTTGGGAGATCATGATACATGTGCCAAAAGGGACCGGACGGCCCAAGCGGGCGCACCATTGGCAGAGTTCAGTGTTCAGCCGTTGACACCACAAGCCAGCGCCACTTTCCCAGCTAACTTTGATTTTTCAGGTCGTGGAGGTCATTTTCGTCACGATTTGTTGCACGCAGCCTGTTCGCGCGGTACTGGGGCGTGTCAATGTTGTAGCAGACAAGCGATAACAACTGTGAAAAACAGTCTGGCGCCGCATCAAACTTAGCTACTCCTACACGCTCCAGTCTCCGTGGCGAACCGGACTAGTTCGTTGCCGCCACGCGCTCCTGAGAATGCCACGGAAAGGCGGGAAAGGTTCTACGAGTTCACCATCAATTTGGATGTAGGAAGAACTTTTGTTCTTACAATTATTAGGTTGGCTAATAAGTAATGGCCGTTTTTTTCAATTGAAAAATTTGTTCGGAAAGTGAAATGTTTTGCAAGCAAGTTACATATCATCTGATAGGAAACTTCTCGTAGTATAAGAATATCAGAAAAGTTTTGGTTGAGGGTATAGTTTTTGTGAATTTTTTAGTCGTTGAAGTTGGAAGTGAAGTCGGCGACATTAGCATCTTCGATAAACGTGTCTATTATTAGTGTACTCCGAAGTGCCTCAAAATCGTTTAAGCTGCCTTTCCAATTACATTTGAAAAGGTGTGATAGCGGTGTCACGAGAAGGGAATCTCATAGGATGCTTTGGAACGAATTTCAGAAATTTTCAATATGTGTGACAACCTCACACGCTTGCCAATAGTGAAGCTGGTTCTGCACGCTCTGTTCGCCTGTTTTCTTCTAATAATTGAATTTAATTGAATTTGAATTTTTTGATATTCTATATACTACGAGAAGTTTGTTG